AAATGCAGAAGAATGAGCTAGCTCTGTCCATGCACTGTAGACCCAAAATCCAGCTGGGGGCCCGGGTCCCACAGCACTATCCTGCATGAATTCAGCTGAAGACCTAGCGCCCATGGCAATGTGCTCCATGGGTACAGCTGGAGGCCTAAAGCCCATGACAATGTCTCATGCAAGTCTGTATCAAGGATCTGCACTGGGAAGGCCCACAGGTCAGTGGCGGAAGCCAGAAAGTCTACACCAGCAGGATGAGGGATCTGGGCCAGCAGGCTGAGGGATCTGCACTGGAGCCAGGAAGTGACACTCAAAGTAAGGACCAGAGCTTCCCCAATGAGAACCAAAGCCATATTCAGTGACAGCAAGGACCTGAGCTCCTCCGATGATGAGAACAGCCAAGTTCACAACAGGAAAGCCTGCATAACAAGCTCCTCCAGGAAAATTAACAGCACACCATCTTGCCCTTCAGTTCTCCTTTTATGCTTTGGCAAGAATCCTCTGGTGGGCTTCCCACACCCAGAGCCATGTGGATTCACCTCAGCTGGGTGTTACAAGGCAACCATTAGTTAATCTACCACAAAAGGGATATCCCTACCCCAAACTACCAAAAGCGTGATCTTACCCCACATGGGTGCTCCACTTTCAATCAGATCCACCCCAGCACTTTGACTCTCACGAAACATTTCCCAGGCTCCCCTGCGAACTTGCTTCCAGGCAGGTTTAGCAAATGGGCAACGTGAGTGGAATATAAGGAACACAAAGAGATGAAAACTCTGCCTCAAACCGTATCTGTGGCTCCAGGGTGCAGACCCTCCATTTTCAATCCAGCTGCACCTGGCAGACTCAACTTGGTCTAGCACTCACCAGCTGTTCTCAGCTCCTGGGCTCCAGAAAACCGTCTCTGCTTGTCCTTCCTCTACAAAGGTGGCAGTGGCTTCTTGCTGTTGATAACTGTCTCACCATCCTATGCAGTATCTCAGGAATCCCATCTCTTGTAAACCCTATTTCCTGTTTTAAATTCTCTCTGTTTGAAACATCTAGGGCAATTTCTTCTCAATAGGACCTGGCTCACAGATGCTGTATAAAGTCACCCAAATGTAACCATTCATGCCAGAAACGTAAAATAGACTTCAGTCTCCTTCTCCTCATCCATACCAGTCTTTGCCCTGGCCCAAGTAGAGCTGGTCACAAAGTCCAAATGATTCCACCACTTGGGCTCATCCCCCTTCTCCATTGCACCATAATGCCTTGCTTCACATCCTTATTTCTCCCCCAGACCAGTGTGGAAGCCCCTCAATTTATTTCCTGGCTATGGTCTTTCTGCCTTTTGATGTGTCCTCCAGATCACTAACAGATTTTTATTTTTTATGCACATCTGATTGTGATAGTGCCCTAATTAAAACTCTTACACAATTCCCACTGACTACAAGAAAAACTCAGACGGCTTAGTCTCACAAACGTGCTGAGCGGTGACTACATTCCCTGTTCTGCACCACAGCCTGGTATCTGAGCCCTCTGTGCATCCTGCCTACCTGCCTAGCCACATCTCTACCTACTTGGAGCCATCAGAACCACCTGAAGTCCCCCATCTATGCCAGTTCCTCTAGGGCCTGGGCCTTCACATATCTTGGGCTGCCCTTTCTCTGCCCATCTGTCTCATGGGGTCCACAGGAGTCCTCGAACATCACCTCCTCAGAGAAGCCCCTCTGATGCCCACTCAGTGCTCTAAGCCCTTTGCAAACACTCCTTTGTGAGAGCTCAGGTCCCCTCTCTGTGGCTGTCTGTTTATATACTGTCTTCTCCACCAAACAGGGCACTCCCCAAGGATGAGGAGGGAGCTCCCCCTCCTCATGTCCCAGCACCCTGTTAGTACAAAGTGCAGAAGAAACGTACAGGTATGTGTTGGCTGAAAGGGAGGCAAAAGGATAAACTAAGAGTCTAGGAGCAGGGGAGGGAGCAGAAAAAGGAGAGGGACACACCAGAGCACTGAAGAGATCACTGGCCTCCCTGCCCAACCGTGGAGGCTCAGCCACTCTGTCCTTTGGCCTAGCAAGAAGCTATAAAACTCTGGAGGCACACCACAGCCGCCAAGGCTTTGCCCAGGGCCATTTCCTGGCAGGTAAGTTTGTTCAAAACAAATATCAGATCAGCAAACACAATCTGCATAATATTTCTATGTGACCTGCACGTCATTTGTACATTCCTTACAAGCACATGCTCTCTTTTACTACGTAACAAATTATCACATAACTTTTCCTAACCCTCAAGAAATTACCTTTGGTTCCTCTCATTTCTACAAGATCTCCTACTAAGGTTCCCCTGGCCCCAACAGCTGCTCGCCAGGTTCTGTGGCCATCCCAGAGGGGTCCCCGAGGTAAGTCAAGAACTCATCAACCCTGACATCTAGAATAAAGAACTCAAAAAAATTAGGCACCCCCTCAAAAAAAAAAAAAAAATTCAGACTCAATCAAAAATGGGCAGCTTAAGTAAACAGATACTCCTCATAACTACAGATGGCGGATAAATACACGAAAAAAATGTTCACCACCACCAGCCATAAGAAAAATGCAAATTAAAAATACTGTGTGAGAACATCTTCTTCCATAAAGAATGGCCACAATCAAAAAATCTAACAACAAATGTTAGTGAGGATACGGAGAAAAACTGACTCTTCTACACCGTTTGTAGGAATGTAAACTAGTACGACCTCAATGGAAATCAGTGTGGATAGTTCTCAAAACACTAAAAATTACAATACCATTTGACCAGCTATCTGCCTTCTAGGTATCTTCTCAAAAGACTTGAAGATATCATAGTAGAGGGATACATGCATACCCATGTTTACACCACACAATTTGTAACAGCTGGATCTTGGAAACAAAATGTAGCATGTATGAATCACTATGCACTACTCTGTGATAAAGTAAGATAAACCTAAAAGGGTCAGCCTGATAGCTTAGGCGGAGCACAGGGGCCAGGGTTCAATCCCCGGAGTGCCATGCCAGCCACACCCCTGGGGCACACTGAGACAGTGGTTGAAACTGGGCGTGGTGGCATGTGCCTGTAATCCCAGCGCTTGGGAGGCTGTAAACAGGAAAATCACTACAAGGTCTGATCTACGCAGTGAGACCCTATAGACCCTGCAGACCCTGTCCTAAATACAGAAAAGGGGAAAAAAAAAAAAAAGATAAACCTGAGGCTCTCAGGTAAGTGGACTCCGGAACATAATATTAAGCTAAATAAGTCAGACATGCAAGCTTAAATATGGCATGGCTTCTCTCACATAAAAAACTCCAAGGGACTGGTAAGATAGCTCAGCAGTCTAAAGCACCTGCTTAGGCAAGCTTAGGCAGGTGCATGGGACCTCGGTTTGATCCCTGGTACCACATGCCACACCAGCCCCACCCTCAGGGAGAGCTGAGCAGGCCAAAAAAAACCTCTGAGCTTAATAAAAAATATATAGTTTAAGGGGCCGGGGAGATGGCTCAGTGGAATAAGCACTTCCCTGGCAAGCGCAAGGGCCTGAGTTCAATCCCCGGTTAAAAAAATATATGTGTGTGTGTGTGTGTGTGTGTGTGTGTGTATTTATATGTAATAAAACACATACACAAAGAGCAAAATAGAAGTTTTTTTGTTTTGTTTTTTAACATATTTGGTCATTACAGTGTCTCACTACACGCCTGAACTCGTGGTAACCCTCCTGCTTTTAGCCTCCCCAGCGCTGGGATTACAGGCATAACCACTATGTCTGGACTCTGGCTGGCTCAGCATGCCCTGAGGACAGGGCTGGCGCAGTATGTGTTGCTGGAGATCCAACCGCTGTCCCTGCGCTTGCCTAAGCTTTCCTAAGCAGGCGCTTTAGTCTGCTGAGCTATTTCACTGGCCCAGTATATTTTGGGTTTTGGTTTTTGGTTTTTGGTTTTTGTGGTACTGGGGATTGAACTCAGGACCTTGCACTTGCCAGGCAAGTGCCTATTCTACTGAGTCATCTCCCTGGCACTTAGAAGATTAAATAATTCCCCAAATTCTCTATTCTATTGCTTCAATATACTATATATGCTAATTTGTTTTACAACTAGTAGTTTCTCTTTATTCACTGTAAAGAAAGTTTTGGGCTTGTTATGGTTTGTGTCTAGGTGTCCCCCAAAGCCTCCAGCAGTCCTAGGGCAGTTTCTGGAGTTTGTGATTGATTACTGTGGGAGTGGATGCTGCACCTGCCCTGGGGCAGGTAATCTGCATTTCAATGTAAGGAGGGAAGAGAAGTCAGCTGCTTAAGCTGCTGCTCCTCCCCAATTTGCTCTCTTGCTCTTTGGCCCCCCACCATGAAAGGCTGTTCTCTGCCTCATGCAGCTCTCTGCCTTGGAGCCAGCTGAGTATGGACTGAAACCTCCAGTAACTGTGATCTGAAAATAAACCTTTCCTTCCTTCATTTTGGGTGTAGGGTATTTGTCCCAGCAACGAGAGAAGAGTAACTGAGACAGTGCTATTATCTATTTCTTTTTTATAAAAGGGTCTTGTTGTCAATGACTTGTACTCTGAGTAACACTCTGGAGGCTCTTTTAGGATTATGGTACACAGCATATTTATCACTGGTAAGCTCTATTTTGTTATGAAAATTTGTGGGGTTTTTTCATAGAAGAGTACTTTTATATTTTCTTTATTAATATCTACATGTATTACAATAAAAACTCCAGGGAGCCT